TTAACATAAAAATATAATGAAAAACACATTTGATCATATTATTTTAACACTTGTAGTAGTAACATAGACTTTCAATAAGAATGTCAATTGAGTGGAATAAATTTTTGCATGATGACATAGACGTTATTCAGACATATTTTTCTTCTGTCTTTTCAATTTTGTATATTCGAAAAATATAAAAAAAAGAAAATCCGAAATTTATGAAATTTGCTTCGTTCTCATATCTGCTGATATGAACAAAGAAGATAACTTCATTTCAACAGAAATACCAAAGACTAACATTATTGATAGTATTCAATCGCTTCACATATTTCTGTATTACTTAAGTTACAGTAAAACTAACACATATTTATTCACACGTTTAGTTTGCCGATGTCCCAACTACATTAAGCCGTTATTGTCTATACGAAAAGCAAATAGAATCAAAAATCAACGAACAAAGAATCGTTTAGTATATTCCATTTAAATCATATGAGATAAACGACATTATCATATAGAAAATAGATGACTAAACGGATGCTCCATCCAAACAAATAAAAACGATGATAGAAAATAATATAAAGATCAACAAAAATAGAGCTGTGAAGAAGTAAAAAGATGAAAAACTAAACATTTTTTACGTATCTATGATATTTGCTAAGGACAACGATTGTAGTAACATTAACATAATTCAGAATCAAGATACTCAATCTACAAAATTAGTCTAAAGAACTCATAACTCATGACACTTTAAGAGAGTATTCATAAGAAAGTCAAGAAGTGCGAAGCATTCATCAAAATTTTAATTGTTTTATATATACTCGAAAAGTCATCATCTATCTACAAAATGTTGAAAAAAAAGTTTACTTGTGAGATTTACATTATTAATAGAAATGTAATCAATTTTCAGAAAAACGAAGTTCATAAATAGTTATGTTGAAAAACAAAATCAAAGTTTTGCTTTTGCTAGATTCGATAATCTTTTACTGAAGAATTAGACGATTTTCGCAAAATTTTTTTTCTTTTTCGTTTTTCAAAATAATTATCTATGAACATCGTTTTTCTCAAGTTTGATTATCTTTTTATTAATTTTGTAAGGTTCAAAAGTATATCTTCATTATAAATTTCATCGTTTTATTTGCTTGTCTTATAGAGAAATGTTATCTTAAATAGACTACAATACTCTTTCATGACTTCGTATAGAAAGCGGAATAGTAAATCTCAAGATTGGTTGAAAATATCGACTAATACAACAGATGAAAAATTCTCAGCTGTGATGCATCACATATGCATCTGTATGCTTCAACGGATATAGAAAGAAACACAAAGCACGATCCAGGATGTAATCGAAGTCATCAACATTGTTGAATCGACTCCTGATGATTACAAGGATTAATAAGTAAAACAAAACAAAGACAAATTTTTGAGTTTCACTAGAGAAACATGGATATATTCCAAGATTGAAAGAATTCATTTCTGATTACACTAAATATAAAGATGTATGAAGATTAGTCGAGACAGCAAACAGATTCTGATAATTTAATCAATTCTATTCAGT